ATATATATATATATATATATATATATATATATATGAGAGTTTACATTACATAATTGTAAAAATCAAAATTATTTAAATTATTATTAATTAAAAATATAATTATTATTACAAATATTCCATATTTTTCAATATTAATTATAAATATTTTCTTGTAAATGATTCTAATTCTTATTATATTATTATAAAATAAAAATTAACTATAGAAATTCACTGCAACTTACTTCAAAACATTATATACTAATCATGATAACAAGATTAAATAAATTTTAATTTTTGGAGAATAATTTACAAAGAATAATGGTTTTAACACATATATTTAAATTTCGTATTTTTTATGAACCAACCCATTCTTTCTTTGTTTACAGGTATGCATGTATTCTTGATGAAACATTACATAGTACAATTCGATCATGATCTATCTGAATGAAATCTTTACTAATTTGTGAAACAATAGAAAGAATATATTTATTACTTAGTATTCAATAAATTTAAAGTTTATGTATATTATCATAAATATCTTAATACAAGTATACAATGCATTTCAAAATATTAAAATTACTTTCCGATATCAAGAAATTATAATGTGCAGTATATAATTGTGCGTTACTGTGATTTTATATTTATTCTAACCTAACAGTACGTCTTATCATTTCGTGCAATATTTTTTATAGTACGTACATTATTGTATTATCGATCATTAAAAAATTGCGCTATTATTATAACACGTACAATAACCTTATTATTAAAAAAAATTCTTTTTTAACTAATTGAGATAAAACAAAATTGTAAAACTTGAGTATTAAAAAAAATTTTAATATTATAAAACAAAATTGCAAGATATAAGATTGTAAGTAGAATTATTAAACATTTATATATTCAATATGTTAATTATTTATAGCAAAATGAATATTGTATTAATATTTGTAATAATATCATTATATTTTTTATCATTAAAAGAAAAAAAAATCAATTTTAGTATCTATATTATAAAAAGGAATTTTATTTTTGATTAATTATTATTGTTAAATAATATTAAGAATTATTTATATTTTATATAATCCTATTTTTTTTTTCAGATATAAATCATATAATATGAAAATAACTGCCAGTATGGCCAATAATTTTATAGAAAAACAATATAATAACATAATTAAATCACCAAATGATAAAAGAGAATACAGAGGTTTATTACTTAATAATAAAATGAAAGTTTTACTGATTAGTGATGCTACAACTGATAAAAGTGCCGCAGCATTGAATGTGAATATTGGTAAAATCAAATATATAATTATATATATTTTTAATTTTTAAATATAATAAAATATAATTATTATTTTTATAATATAGATTTTATATTATAATATAAATTTTATATCTTTATATTATGTATTTTTATAGGTTATTTAAGTGAACCAGATGATTTATTAGGTTTAGCACATTTTTGTGAACATATGTTATTCTTAGGAACGGAAAAATATCCAGAAAAAAATGATTATAATAAATATTTATCACAAAATGGTGGTTCATATAATGCATCAACTCATATGGATCATACACTTTATTATTTTGATGTACATGCAGAAAAATTAAGAGGTGCATTAGATCGTTTTGCACAATTTTTTATTGCACCACTTTTTACAGAAGCTTTAACTGATTTAGAATTAAATGCTATTCATTTGGAATGTGAGAAAAATATAGCAAATGACACATGGCGCCTTGATCAATTAGAAAAATCATCTGCTGATCCAAATCATCCTTTTTCAAGGTTTGCTACTGGAAATAAGGAAACCTTAGATATAATTCCAAAACAAAAAGGAATAAATGTAAGAGAAAAATTACTTGAATTTCATAATAAATTTTATTCTTCTAATATTATGGCATTATGTGTACTTGGCAAAGGTAAATCAAATATTTTATTTATTTATTTACTTATATTAATTAATCAATTAATAAAGTTATAATTTTAATTAAAAAGTATAATTTTTAAAATAAAATTATAATTTTTTTTATATATTCTTTTATATATTCTAAACAAATTTAAATATATTTAATATTTATAATTAATTATGCTTTATATTACATGAAATAAAACTTTAAATAAAAAATTATTTATAAATTATACTTATTTTCAGAGAGTTTAAATGAACTTGAAAAAATAGTAGTAGAGTTATTTTCTCAAGTGAAAAATAAAGAAATTCCAATACCTACTTGGCCAAAACATCCTTTTAATGAGCAACACTTCCAACATAAGTGGTATATTGTTCCAATAAAAGACATTAGGAGTTTGTATATTATATTTCCTATACCTGATTTACGAGAACATTACAAATCAGCGGTAATAACTATGTTTATGTTATTTTTTAACACATTAAATTATTTTTTTCTTTTATATATATATAATAAAAATATATTCACTTTATTTTTTTTTAGCCTGCACATTACATTTCACATTTATTAGGACATGAAGGTGAAGGATCACTCTTATCTTTATTGAAAGCAAAAGGATGGTGTAATTCATTAGGATCAGGTAAACGATTAGGTGCTAGAGGTTTTAGCTTCTTTGTTGTTTTTGTTGATTTAACAGAAGAAGGTATTCAACATATTGATGATATTGTTCTATTAACCTTCCAATATATTAATATGTTAAAAAGAAATGGGCCAATTGAATGGATTTACAATGTAATTATTTATAAATTAATTTTTATATAATACAGACGCTTAAATATTAACACTTCGCCATTAAGAACTAATAATTCTATATCTAGTTTGCAAGAAAAAAAATATATATATATATATATGTATTATATTAATTATATATATTATATATTATTATAAAATTAATATAGTATATAATATAATTATATAATATATTAAGAAGTAACAAATAATTTTAAATATTTGCATAAAAAATTATGCATTTCATTGGTGAAGTGTTAATTGTAAGGATAAAATTATATTTAATCAAATAACTATTTTATTTTGAAGGAATATAAAGATGTAGCAAATATAAATTTCCGATTTAAAGAAAAAAGTTATCCTTGTGATTATGTCAGTGGTTTAGCACAAATATTATATGATTATCCAATAGAAGATATTTTAATAGTAGAACATCTTTTTCTACAATGGAAACCAGATTTAATTAAATGTATAATGGAATTTTTGAAACCAGAAAATGTTAGAATTCATATAGTTGGAAAGTTATTTGAAAATATATCTGATGAAACCGAAAAATGGTATGGTGTTAAATTTAAAAAAGAAAAGATATCACCAGACATTATAAATAAATGGATTAATGCTGGTTTAAATGCAGATTTAAAATTACCACCAAAGAATGAATTTATACCAGAAAAATTTGATATAAAACCAATAGGAGACAAAGTAAATAAATTTACTTATTTTTTTTATGTATTTTTATATGTATATATATATATATATATATAATAAATTTTGTTTTTATTATATATAGACATCCAAATTTCCAGTTATTATTGAAGATACTTCGTTAATAAGATTATGGTTTAAGCAAGATGAAGAATTTCTTATACCCAAGGCTAATTTATTTCTTGATTTTGTCAGGTAAAAATATTTTAAAAAAATAAAATTCTGTATATTTGTAATGATTGAAAATATTTCAATATTTTATATGCATTATAGTTAGAGGTTGAATGATACACTGATCCTGATTATTTTATCTCTGATGAAGTTAACAACAATGTTTGTCATATTTCTTTCAAGATGATATAGCTTTTATATATACATATGTATGTGTAAAAGCAATTTTAATATAATTGCATTACTGAATCAAAAAAGTATGAATTTTCTGATTATGTATTATACATGTTATCATATTATACATAAAAAATATATAAAGTAATTATATAATTAATTTTGAGAATGAATTAATATTTATTAAAATGAATTCTTAAATTTTTTTAAATTCTTAAATTAATGTAAAATTGTTATTTTTTGTGATTGCATAGATAAAGTTTATTAATTATTTCAATAACTGTATATAGTCTAAAAATACATATATATATATTAAAATATAAAAAATTATATTTTGCTGTCAAGAACTAATTACTTATTTATTTAAAATATTTATATAATATAAATTTATACTTTTTCAAAATCAATTCTCATTAATACTATTTTATTAGACTAAGAAAACTTTCTTCTTTATATTAAATACATATTTTTTCATATTTATATTAAATATATTATAAAATTATTTAATACTTTGTTTACAGTCCACTAGCATATTTGGATCCTCTTAGTTATAATCTAACATACATATTTGTATTATTATTTCGTGATGCTTTAAATGAATTTGCATATGCTGCTGATATAGTTGGTCTTAAATGGGAACTTACTAATAGTAAATATGGGATGACAGTGAGTAAAAGCTGACTAAATATTTTATTATATTATTATATATTATAATATAATTGTATTATATATTTTTAGTTGGGAATTGTTGGCTATGATGATAAACAACGTGTTTTACTAGATAAAATTATAGATAAAATGCTTAATTTTAAAGTTGATCGAAAAAGATTTGCAATTTGGAAAGAAAATGTAATTTTTTTATTATTAATTTTTTTACATGTATTATATATTTTTATATATTATTTTATATATTATTATATTTATCATTGATTTTTATATTATTTTTATGAATTTTAG